AAGTTGAGGAAAAGCAGAGCTTCCGAGTGACTCAGGGCACCCCAAACGCTGGAGCATTTCTTGGAACTCAATTCATCTCTTTTCTAGCTAGCTACCTTTCAAGTCATAGACTCACTACTTAATCCAGCAAAGAATTTAAGAACCTTCTACAGATTAATAAGTGAGAAATTTTGCTGAACATTTCTTCTTTAATTGCTAGGTAAGTAAACAGTTAAGCTGAGTTTCCGAAATGAAAATGACGTGCTTTGGAGGATCTCAGTTTTATACGTAATACTTTTGCTTACTCCATATGGATATGATTCCTTGATTCATGTCATAACTAACTTTATCTGGTAATGTTTGAGGAACATTTCTGGTAAATTGTTTCATTCTATGTTAAACTAAGCATTTGACGATAAGTACACAGTCGGTAGTTCGCGAAAAGTCGCCAAAATTCATTCAAACTAAGATCTCTTACCGTAAACAACAGTGGATTAATCGTTTTGTATAGGGTATCAAAATTACTTGAAATCCGTCTTTTCAGCGATGTGACATCGAGGTATTTACCGAACCTGAGGCTTTAATTTCTACCGAGCGAAATAAACTTTCTCGAAACACACAGTTACACTCTGTTAATCTTTGTAGAATGCTACTAAATGCGATGGATGCACTTTTTGGTCGCCAATCCTTCTGATAGTTTATTTCAATGCACACGAAACCCTTATTAAATTTCTTTATTATTGGTTTTTAATCCTTTAAACTTTTATCACTTCCGGAAGCTCTTAAGTTGGCATTGTGCTTCTCGACATGTGCCGTTCTAATTGAACCGTTTAATTTTCCATCATCGTGTGGGATGTTTGAGCTCAGTGGGTTAGACAGTAACTGTCAACATGTCGACATCACTAGGGGGGCTAATCTTCAGACGATCTAATAACCCAGTTATGAAATAAAGAAGATGATGCATTTAACTCTTTGTTGCTTTTTTCGCTCTCGAGCAATTATCCTTTCACACTTTTGGTAGTAAATATAGTTGATTGCCGCCAATGTCTTCCTCTTAGCTGGTTGTATTATCGATTGTGTTTCCGTTTGGGCGAGAAGAATCGATTTAGCTCTAATCTTCCTATGATTATTGATACGTTTGGTCCAAACCTTGATTAGGCTTTGAGTACAATGATGTTTAAAGAATCAACAACGTGGCTCACTTTGTGATTCAGGGGTCAACTATAGTCCGCGGCGTTCAGCCATAGGGGATGACCATCGAGGACGATCTTTTTATGAAAGGCCTGCAATAGCCGCAAAGGATTGCTTCTTCTATGAAAGCAGTTACTTTAGGAAAAGGACCTACACATGTAGATAAAGGAATGAATTAAACTGTCACTATTGTTGAGAAGTTTTAAAATTTCGCTTAATCTCCTTACTTCGATATGCAGAGTTTGTTCCTTGAAATTTTCTCGGTTGTCAAACAAAAAACCATCTCTAAGTCTCAGTACGTATGAACCAGGACAACAAAAAGAAATCATTACTTCTCAATCATCATTTATTAACAAAGGTGACATAAGTATAAAAGAAATCTTAGAAGACCGACGAACGCGGTGACCTTTTCTGGTCAGTTAAGCCCATTTGTAGGCTGTTGCGGCAAGGTTAACAGGTAAAACCTCCATCACTTAACGGAGGAAGCGACGTCAGTGACTCTGGGGTTTAAAACACCTGTGCTATTTCCTACTACAGGTACATGTACGTGTCTCCTAAAATTTAGATTTTGATTTTTGTCGAGAGTGACTTCAATCCGGAAATCCACTGATACCTCAGTAGTGTTATAAGAAGGGCACCTTTCAGTAGCAAACCTGCTTCACGATGTTTTGATTTCCGACATGTGTTTCAGCAGAAGAAAATTTACAAATAATAGCTCACTTGGAAAGACATACGCCACATAGGAAAGAAGAAAGCAAAACTTTTTAAGTTGGTTGCAGAAGTTGAAGATTAAAACAAATTAATTGAAGATGGCGAACTTAGAAATGCCTAAATACACTTGAACAGTTGAAGCAGAGGAAGGCTTCTCAAACCTCCTTTGTTTGCGAGCAGTGAAAAAGAAGCAAGAGATTACCCAACAAAATAGTTTCTCCTTGCTGGCAACACAATTCATGATTTTACTGAAAACACAATCAAACAGGCAGATATGCAATACCAATATCTAGCATACTCGTTTCCAAGCTATTGAAACTTCAACAGAGTTTATTTAGAAGTAACTCTTCCAAGACTTATGCTTCGGGATCGCCGCAATGCGGAAAGAGAAAATATTTCGCTACGCCGGTTACATCAATGGCTGCATCAAATGGTTAGAAAGGCGAATATATCAATCTAACCAAGCAAGGATACGAGAGCAGTGGAAGCCCTCACTTAAAAAAGAATATTATCATAAGGTGGCTAGATAGATTGATTTCGAATTCATTACCAATACTGATAAGAAGGTTTTTCACAAGATATAGTCAATATTTGAAGATCTTCATGTTTGCCATGCTTCTAGCAGCTTAGTAAAGGCTTTATCGAAGAAAAGAAATTTTTTATTTTAAAGCAAGGCCTGTTTCTTATCGACGAAGGTCTTCCTGAACGATAAGTTTAAGCATGAACTTTTGAGTGAGCCACATGACAAATTTTGATAAGATCCCTCTCAGTAAGTCTTACGCTTATAGCATAGATTTCTTAAATTCGTTAAGCCTCGTGAAAAAGTAAATTTGGAGCATGGCTGTATGTTCTTAAGGGCGTAAGTTCAATGTGGAGCAGCAAATTCACTCGTTTGCCCGCAGCATTTCAATTATAATAGTTTCTTCGAGCAACGTCGGCAGCCGGTTCATGTAAAGGTGTTATATTGTAGTCTTTGTTAGATTGGTTTGGAATTACTTCCTTCAGCGGGATCACGCGATTCTGATTGAGCGGATTTCTTTTATCGACACGATCTCAATGGCCAAGCGAGGCTTGGCATTTTTGTGAATGACGAGCAAGGTCCATTTTATCGAGTGAAAGCCAAATTAATCAATTCTTTTATAGAAGCCTATTGCCTCCTCTGGATATAATCTGATCATAATAAAACTATTAAACGGATTTCCATCGGGCTTTAAGCCCGAGTTGTGAGTCAGTAACCGTAACCGCAAAGACTAACGCCTTGGTTGCCACAGATGCAAGAGACCGAGGACTCGGATATATATACACTACTAAGAGAGAGTGACAAGCAATACGTGATCAACGGATAATGCGATGTTCTTAATACCAAGCGGGGGGGCGAAGAGGAAAAATAAAGTATTTCCGATTAGCTCGAGAGACGTTAAAAGTGCAAACTTCTCTGTAATTAGTGCAATTAAGCTGTTGCTAAAACTGATATGCTTTTATTTTTCCTGCAAAATGTTTTGAACCGTGTAATTTGAAGGTTGGTCTCTTCAAGCATGAAAGTGAAATCTCATTTGAGCCTCTAACTACTCGAAGACAAGTGGTAATTTAACCATAATTAGATTATTTGTTTGTTTCCTAAAGCCCCTAGTTTAGCATGACGTCAGGCTAGCTGCGTGACCTGGGTTAAGAAAAGAATTAAGATAATCCTTCGGTAGAAATATGACATCTTCTACTGACACAATAAGATGTGCTAACCAGTATTTACATATGCAGGATGTGGGCGACTGTCGTGCTTATCGGCAGAGAACCCTAAAAGGATTCATTGTTCACATAAAACGATTTATGTTTCCGCAGTTTAAAACAATCGCTTTCCTAAAACTCTTAAGCAACACTTCTGCAGTAACAAATGATTACAGAGACGTCGTCGATACTACATTTAACGTCGCGAAGGAAATTTTGCTCAGATCTCATACCTTGGTTTAGAAATATTATTTGTTTTTTTGCCCGCTTCTGTGACTCAAATCGTGTTTCTTATTGAATCAGGAATTAACATAATTTTCCGTGCTCCTTCAGGCGTTAGCCAGCGCTAAATTAAAACTTCGTGTTGGCATTCCTCGTTCATAACTCCTTGCATTAAACGTAAAATTCAATAATTCGAGCGATTAAGCCGTGAAGATTTGTAGACAATAACGGAGTCGATGCGTTACTTTCCGCACGGGGTTTTCGGCGAATTGTAATCACAAAAAATGAAATAAAACGACATGTCCGCAGCGCTGTCTTCACGAGCATGCCGCTGTCATTTACCACGACAATTTCCTGACAGCAAGCTTATTATGTTATCATTAAGCCACTCCCAAACGGTTAGTTTAAATTCAAGGGTGTTAAGCCACGCAGTGCGTCTATCAGTTTAATAACACACCGTAAAGGAACCTTGAAACGTGAGTTTGGTATGTACATCTCTTCCTTCGGATAGCTATTCAACTTATTTACGAAGCAATTAGAGTAAATTTTTATATCACTTGATCATGCAGTTAAGTTACGAACTGCGTGCATTGTTTGCTTTGATTCAATCTCAAGTGCTTTTGAAAAATTACGGCATTCTTGATGGGGACACTTACAGACAAGTGCGTCTCAATACGACTTTCTCAGCGTCGGTTAGACCTTCAAAGTTGTGTGCCGTTTTGTAGTACCTCTAAAAATCTAAAAGAGGAGTACAGTAAAACTTGGATGAATTCACTTAAACTTGGCCAATGACCACGCACAATATTTGCAAAGATGTATCGTGGGGTATTGGCTTGTTGGCGTGGAGTCAAAATAGCAAAATAGTGCGCTCCTGTGAGATTCAATGAGACAGTGGATTTCACCTGACTATATGTGCGATAAATATTTACGCCATTTAGACTGTCTCAAGATTTTGAAGCTTACTTGTTCTGATAGATCGATCGACAAAGAAAACACTACAACTCAAAAATTAAACGTGCTGCTGGAACAAATAGAGCGCATCCATCATAAGAGGATTAAAAAAACACTCTCAAAAACATTCTTGCAAAACGGACTCGCTTTAGACAGAGGTGAATCATTATAAGTGACAAAATTTTCACCAACTTTTTCCTACAGTTCTACACCAATATTAAGACATGGAGCGTCACCCTTTCTCTATTGAAAACATTTTAAAGGACACACGAGGTAGTAGCAGCATCCTTAAGGTTGCACCGACTTCTGAAGCCTTGGCACTGGCAGAGAGGATGGCAGGTTAGTCACACTTCAATGTAAGCTCTCTAACGGAGTAAAACTACGATTATGTTATTTGGTTTAGAGTTATCAAAGACCATTGGTTTAAAATACGATTAGCTACTAATTTGCGAAAGGAACTTTCCTTTAAATTCAAAGGTTTTTTTATGAGCATGCATCTTTGTTTTATACTCCATACCAATTGCCGTGAAATTCGAGGAAGGCATTCGCCTGTTTTCAATCCAAACGGGAAATTCTTCTCATTCGGTATTTCCAACTACTCAACTGATTGTTCTCGAGAGTCTTCTTAAATTTTACATTGTTTAGACGGTTTTCGGTTTTTGGAAGCACTTGAGTAATTCAGAGGCGCCAATTTTTTACACTTACGGAATCTAAAATCACAGCCAAAAATTAATCATCGCATAATTAACTTATATTTTTGGTGAAGGGTCAAGTGAGATAAAAGGTGTCAGTAGTATCTTTCATCCATGCGGTTTTTGTCGAAGTCAAACCTCAAATCTACTCCGGGTTTTTTGTGTGGCTAAAATAAGGAATTATATTAAACCTTATCAAATCTTAGATAGACAAGTTCCATACAAAATGTTTTCAGGCGATTTGGGAATTTAAAGGGGACATTGGATTAGCCGAAAAAACCCGCAAGTGTTTTGTTAGTGCTTGAGATGTTGGTAATGAAGTCTGAATCGTGGAATAATGAAACACCACTTTCATTGTTCTCACCATCCTTCAATTGCATTTCCGCAATCCTTAATTTACAAGAGATTTAAAAACCCCAGTATAAAGCCTCCGTAAACCTCAGGAAATTCCTTTTTGTTCTGCTCAGCGCGGTTCCATTGAATTCTTTACCACGGGGAAATGAAAGGACTGTGCATTTTTAATCATGCACAAATTACTTCAGAAGAAATGATAAGTATGCATGGCATAAGCGTATAAAGATGTTGCACACACAGTTCTTCTTATTTAAGTATTTCCAATCTACAACCACCCTTAATTATGGATGATTCTTTGGTTTCGCGTATTAAAATTTAAGCCACTCTGTTTACTGGTGGTTGCTAGCATTGTGATAAATACGTTTTACTCGATTACTAAAGTGCAGTCTTACTGATGACAGCAGTGCTTGTTTTCGGGTTATTCAAATAAGGAAATCTCAAAATGTAAAGCTCGACTTCCGATAGTTAAAAAAAAGGAAAAAAAAAACACATATGCATTCCGACGAATTCTTTCTTTACAACGACTCTGTTTAACCGATGTAACAGAGATGGAATATTCGACAAAAGATGTTTTCACCTTATGTCTCCGAGTCAATTTATCTCATCAACGAAACGTTGAGGAAACGTTCTTTTCGAAAACGAATCAGTTCAAATTCTGCTTAACTCCAAGGGCGTTTCCCTTGTTTACGACGCCGTCTTTAAAACATCACCATTTCTTTAGCATTGATCCATTGAAAGTCCCATTAATCAAGATACGACTTTTTTTCTTTGTTCTCTAGTTACTGTGCTTAATTGGAAAAGTCAGTTCTGACAAATTCATAAGCTTTGTTTGCAATGGTTCGGCGCCCAGTAAGCCTTACGATCAACAAGAGAACAATTAAACAGATTTATCAGAGCACATTGTCAGGCTGTAAGGAACTATTAATTATGGATGTTGACAGTTCCAGGTGGAAGAGTTTACACATGGGTTGCAAAGTCATGAGAGAATTTAAATTAACAATTCGATTTGTATGTATAAGGTTGTTCTTTTTATTTTAACTGGTTTGTTGTTAGACAGCTCCTTATCATCACAAATAACCTAAAGAGCGTACTCATAATTGGATGGTTAATAATCCCACCTTTCGAAAGAAAGTGTGTTCTTTGCTGGCATCAAGATAAGGTGCATTTCTTAGACTGTCCATCATTTGTTTACATTGACGGCTCACATTTTGGAGTGTAGGCAAAAGTATGGTACTGTCATGAATTATTTTCAATGTGATAGATCCCTTGCATCAATAATATGGACTTTCTAAAATGCATCTCCCCTACTGGCCTTAACGTAATTCTCTGTAATCAGTAGCCTGTTAATGCCGATTGTCTGAAAGGGTTGCAAAGAACGCCGGAAATTGCGAATGAAGGGTAACAAAGGCGAGTGCCGCTTAAATAAGAACTGTCAGATCACAAGCTATACCGACTTCTACTATACGTGCACTGTAAAAAGCTGTTTAAACAAATGAGCTAAAGTTATTTCTGAAAATCGATCAGTAAGCATATTGCTTCCATTTAATCAGCCAGTACATACACAGGATAGAAGAGCTATGCAATGATTCTATTTTGAGCATGCAAAAATCCTCTTATAATCCCACCTGGGTCTTTCCTCTTCCGTAAAACGTAAAAAAAAAGTGTTACCTGCACGTTCCTGTTTAACTCAATTAGTCGCTTGTTATCACCACTTTTGAGGGAAAGTCATCAACATGCAAGAAGCATGGCCATTCTTCCAAGAAAAATCTTTGAAAATAATAATAGAAAGTCCACAATTTTTAGATCAGAACTGACATCTTTTCTTTACGCTCTAGTTCTGAATTCTCCTCATACTTAAAGTGGGAGCTTTTTATAAGCGACGGAGTAGCGTGCATTTCATTGGAAGTAAATAAAGCAAAAAAACTTATTCGCTTCTGAATAAGCTCCAGCCACGTGGGTCAGTTTGGTCGAAGTGAGACTTTGGAAAGCAAGTTTAAAAGTCTATATCGCTGTTATACAGGATGTTTTGAGCTGATGATAATGGTACATATGGGACGTAAAACTTTGCGTGATCTTTTTTTTAATATAGATATTATATTAAAGGTCAGCTGTATGGAAGGACGGAAAATTCGGCGTACAAGAACCACATTCAACCAGTTCCAACTTGAAACTCTCGAGAGGACATTTGCAAGAACTCATTATCCAGACTTGATGCTAAGGGAGCAGTTGGCAGCTTACACAAGTTTGCCTGAATCACGTATCCAGGTTGGTTTGACCCCAAAATTAAAATCACACCTGCTAATCAACTCATTAAAAAAGGACTTAGTTTCGATCCTAACTTCTCAGAGGGTACGTATCGAGGAAGTATTGTTAAGAAAATAATAATCTTAAAACTTTTTTTTTTTTCAAGACCTGGTTTGTATTTGCCCGAGTAAAGTACTGCAAATATTTCTGCATGGGACTGTAGGAAAAAGGAATGACCCGGCATTCTTTGCAGTCGAGAAATGCCTAAAGATATCAAACAGAAGATGTTATAGGCTGAACTTAGATACAAGTTATGGCAAAGGACATATTCAGAGCATCAAGTCACTTTAAAATAGAATATCATCCTAGCAGCAAATGGTGCCGTACCTCGATTTTAAATAGAAAATTGAAATCCGCCAAATCGGGAAAAATCTTTTCCAAATAAAAGGGCCCGGATTCCCCAAACGAGTTCGAGGACATGACCTCTTCCTAATTCGGCTTAATAAAGAAATCCCTAATTTCCACATTCCGGTCATAGTGAGTAAACCGATGATTTCTTTATAGAAGATTTGAGAATTAGTTTTTCAGGCTATTCGCAAATGAGACACATGGTTTCCATTCGTCATAATCACATCAGTTGCGCAATATCTGTCAATTATGGACTGAGGTACAGAAGAGTGATTCAAAAGATATGATTTGATGTGACGTAAGCACAGAGTAAAAATGAAATCCCAAATCTTGACTCCCTCTTCCCTTAAAATAGTGACGGCAGCTTTCTTTAGATGAGATTTACATAAAAATGCAGGTGTTACCTCCCGGCGCGAACCCTTCCACTACAAAGATCCGAAAGTTGATTTTCCTACCTGATCACTAAACACTTCCTTGTCAGCTCAATAGAGTTAAAATGAGCTTTTTAAACATTGGCTCATAGATTATTAGCAGCTACAAATAGTAGAAATTAAATCCAAAATCTTGATTCCCCCTTCCCTTTAAATAGTAAGGGCATCTTTCTTTAGACGAGATTTACATAAAAATACATGTGTTACCTCCCGGCGCGGAGGAAACGTAATGACATCGATATGCAACTGACTCGTAGCTGTAAATAGGAACTCAAAACCAACGAATGATCGTCATGGATGTAAATTTATCATCCCCACTGAAAACACTTTTTTATGTCTGTGTGTTTGTTTTGTTTTGTTTGTCTGTTTGTTTCTTTAGTTCTGGTTAATGTCCTGAAAGATTCGTTACGCCGCCCAAAACCCTAGTCACGGTTTCTTTTTAGAAAAAAAAGCAGAAGTCAAATAAGTAACTGATAGTAGGGTATCACTACCAAATTTAGGCCTTCAAGCGTTCTGATTTTCATTTAGTTAGTCGCCGTCTTCTTTTACCTGTCTCTTAGGTGTGGTTTAAAAATCGTCGGGCCAAGTATCGCAAACTTAAAGGTTCTAAAGAAACAGGTGACCTGGAAAGTAAGGATGACCAAGAAACGAAAAAGAAGAAAAATGCGGATGATGATGATCTTCAGGATGTTGAAGGTTCACCTGTTGGGGATGAAGCCCATTCTTATCACCAAAATAAGCGGCTAAAAGTTGATCGAGATCTAGAAGACAGTAATATCGCAGTTCCTACACGTCCAGTTCCTCTGAGCTCTGGGTACGTGTCATCGCCTTTCTCTTCGAGGTCTTTTCCATTTGACCCAAGGCTGCTATCAGGATATGGTTATACTTATGTGCCTGAGTGGGTCTATTACGACTCGGTAAACAACTGCCAGCCGCGTCCAGTTAATGTACAACAGCTGTATCCCAACATAGGAGTTATTCACTGAGTTTATGCGAAAGGCTTTGGTGTAAAATGTAATCAGCATTTCTTTATTTATCTTTTCAAAGAAACAACATACCAGGAATAAGATGAGAGACTCAGGCTTACGGAGCCATAATGTGGTGCAAACAGCGCAGACTACAGCTTCTCTCGCATCATCAATGTAATTTATTGCGTCATGTCTATAATTTTTTTAGGAATATAGAAAGTTCTGTTGTCAGGGCAAAACATCTAGAGGAGGCGACGGAAAAACGCGTTCAAAAATCATCTGTTTGGTAAAACTTAAAGCAAATGTAAATACTAAATATGTATACACTTAAGCAGAACAAATTTGATAATAGTCATACTTATTTATAAACATCTGTAATATACTTGTATTTAAGCCGTTTCCTAAGTTTGTACCATTTCACTATTTGAAACTGCTATGTTCAACTGCGTTTGAATTGAGACTATGTTGGCAATAAAAAGGAATTTAGGCGACTTATTTAGAATTTAAATTGACAGAGGATTATACAAGAAATCTGTCATCGCTGAACATCTCAACTTTGGACCGTTCGCCCACTCGTCAGTGGGTGCATCGCTGTTATATTATCTTGAAAAGCCAAAATAAGGCTGTGTCCAAGTAGGATCGGATTATTATAACCGTAGCAAGTATCATATGAAGTATCCAAGGAACGCACAAAGAACACGAATTGTCAAGCCGCAATTGTTAGGCCATAGCTTCTCAAGCTTGCGTTAGGTTAGCGTTAGGAATCTACCCTGGGTACCTATGATTTAGGTCACGTCTGAAGGCGTCTCAGTAAGTCAACATAGTTTAAGCCAACATATCCTCAGCCCTAAGCCGTAAAAGGCGTTAACACCGAGTCTCACGAGGTTTTTAATAAAGATCCCTGCCGAGCATACTATCAAAAAGCGGACTTGCGCCGTAAGGTGGCACGAGAAAGCTCATTTCCTATTCCCTTCCCTGCTTCGAGACATCAAGAGGAAATAATGGGCATTGTTTTCTATTGGAGACAATTAATATAGACAGTCTGAGTTTGGATTATAACTTTTTCTTCCTTAGCCAAGAAGTCTCCTTCTTCGAAGATTGTGTGTCTCTTTGTCAGTCCATCCATTACTCTCGTCTTAATTCAAGAAGACGCCAACAGTCTTTCTCTGGTCTCTCCTCCCCGGATAGGCTTTTACAGTATTTCCTGCTCTGTCAGCAAAACCATAATCGTGTTTGCTGGTCCACCAAATACTTTTTTTTCTCCCATTTGCCGAAGTCTCTCTTATCTATTATTCAATAATTATCGTGCTTTCACGTTCAATATTTGATGGGGCAACATAGCGGGGGATAATCATACCAAGTGTGAAAAAGTTGAGAATTCGCAGTTCTTCCAAAGAGATGTAATCAAGCTCCTTCAGCTTTTAGAGCAAGTTCATTAAAATTTCATTAGCATGGCAAATAACATAAAAACTTACCCACATGTCAATAACAATATTAGTAAATGAAAATATGAAGTTATAATTATCTTAATTTGCCAAATGTTTTAAAGCCGATTAAGGTTAATCGAAGATTGAAATCTCACCATTTTAAATCTCATTGCAGCATGCCTTTCCTTCTCACCTTGAACTCAGTCAAGGATTAGGGTGATGAATCACAGTCAAATTGATGATGTCGACAAAAGAACACGAAATAAGCAAATGAAGTGGTTAAGCTAAAGATTTTTTGATAAATTCTGAGAACAAAGGAAAATATGGGACAGGAAAGGCAGAGAGGAAGAGGTTCAAAAAGATAGACGGCGAAGGCCTTAGAGCAGACAATCATAGGGAAGAAGCCTTAGAAAAATAGAGAGTATTGACAAAGGTCATAAGAAGCAATGCCGTAATGATGAAGGAAGAAGCCGGGATGTCAGTAATAACCAGGGTACAGACAGGGAGTATATCCGATATATCGTCTTCTCAGCTTAGCACATGGAAAATCTCTGTATTGTGATATTAATGGTTTGTGGCAAGGCCATCAGAATGGACCGACAATTGATAATCACCTTTGGTAGTTATTGTCCACGATGGCTCGAATAAAGATTCATGTAACATGGCCAGTGGGCATACATACTTTCATCTCTAACCTCCTCTTTGCCCTTGATTTGCGTCATGCATTTAATCAAGAATGTCTTTAATGGGGTGAAATTCCCCAAACTAAAACTGAAAAAAAAAAAAAAAAAAAAAAAAAGAATTAAACCCATACAAAAACAGGCAAAAATGCGTGAATAAGAAAATAAGTACGATTAAGTCATACCGGAAAAGCTTACCATAAGAAGAGTCTTGAGAAGTCAGACGGTTGGTCGTCCATGCTAGAGAAGCATAAACAATAGTTCTGTCTGGTTTGAACAAAGAAATATCTGCTTTAACTATAGTGATTTATGATCAAGCCATCGCTGATATCTTTACTGAAGATCCAAGACAAAGGCTCTTTTTATGAGGCATTTGGAAATGAGAATTGAACAAGTCTTAAAATACAAAATAAATTTCAAACATAACCTAATTAAAGGTTGTTGATAGATGTTAGTCGGTAGAAAGCAGTCTTACGGGTTCATGATTGTCCATTTTTACTGCTACCACAAACCTTCTCTGAGATGAGGGAAGTTGTGAAATCCAGTAGTATTCCTGACAAATTTTGGTTAATCCCTTGTGTTGAGGTCTTGAGAGTAAATTATAATGAGTACGATAATTTTGGAAACTGATCAGAACTCGAGATAAGCTATCTTAGCTTTCGGTATTTTAACGACTCAAAAGAATCTTCCTAAAGGTCGAGTTATTTTCAATTTTGGCTTGCTTAATTATACCTCCAAGAACGCAAAGTTTGGATTCCGAACGAAAGTGTTGATTTTACGCCTTAATACAATTAGCACACAACAACTTCGGGCCGGCTGAGAATGCGAATGAAGGTCAGCACATCCGTTTTATAGATCCTTGCTCACCATGAAGCTGCGTGAAAAGCGCTATTACATTTTAATCTGGTATTTTCCTAAAAGCTAAATTGCAGCCACACACGGTGCACTTACAGGTACGATAAGAACCCTTCGAGTTTTTTTCTTGTTTTTTCGCCCGCCCTTCACTGGAAGGTTTCCGGGAACATTTATCAATGTCAAATAGCTTGGTATAATCGCATTAACAGCTGGTTATACTCACACGCACACCATCATATCTCAAATCTGCACTCGTCGTTGAACGGGAAGGCTCTGCCAGCCTTCTCTATACATACAGAGGATCTTACCATTTTCTGACTTAGCCTACAGATACAGACCATGGACACCCACCCTTTTTCTATAGAAAGCATTCTGAAGAAGCCCTATGCTAAGAAAGTCGAAGAAGAGTCAAAAACGCAGCCTTCAAACTCCAAAGAGGCGCTATCATTAGCTGTAAAGCTGGCTGGTAAGTTTTAGTCTAACACAGGCAAATGTAAGTGAATTAAACCAAGTCTTAAGCGTCGTTACAAATGTTTGTTGGCAAGGTTGCGAGGAAAGCCTTTGGATAACACTGCCTTGTTTGGTAATGTAATTTATAAGAAATGTCTCTGTCAGCAGTGATGTGGGAAGTTTTGATAAACCATCTTTTAGTTCACAGACAACTCGGGTGGAGACGGAAACCTCCTTTTTTCGCTGAAATTAAATGTTCATAGACCTTAGCTCGTTAAATTGTTTTACGTAGATTTCACATGTTAAAGGAAACTTATTACTAGTCGCCCGTTCGAATACCTTTAACGGAATAACCGAGGAAACTGTCCATACCATTAAATGGGGTAATCCACTCTAGCTCATCAAGACATTAGGTAATGTGCACAAAGAGCGGTTGCAATAAAGTACAATGGAAAATTAAACTTGTTGCTAACAACGCAAGACTGAGAGGTCAGGTTGGACGGCACCAAACACGTAGTTAATGCAAACAAGATAACAAGGCGTCAAGAGGTTTCAAAATAATTTACATTCACTCGTATGTCTCTTGTTGATGTACATGAGGCAGGTGAGAAACCGTTGCCTGAATAAGTAAGGTATACGCTGTAATCTATGGCCTTTCCGCCCTTCGAAATTGAAATCGATGTGTGTGTTATCTGTATAAGCTGTTCCTTTAAAGTTAAACAGACGGCAATCTTGAACAAAGCATTGATCAAAGTGAAAGCTCATGTTTTGGTGAAAATCTGCTGATTTCGTGACCCCCCTCTTACAACCCCTGCTTATCAAATGACTGAGGGTATTCTTGTTTGTCTTCTTGGCGCCGGCTAGAGATTCAAGATCTAGATAAGACAATACTATGGAGAACAAAATGAAATAATGTTCCACTTTAGGACCATAAAGAAACTAGATACCCTTTTAAGAATTTAGAAGCCACTTCGTAAAGCCACAGTGACTTGCATCTGCGATCTCTACGCTGATGTCTCCTCTTGATTCTCTATGGAAGTGGGTACTCATTTTTTGACCACTGAACCACATTGACCGTATGATGTATTTCCTCTCTTACCTGGTAGTTCCCCCACACAAAAAACCAAATCCCGTTTGTTTTCGGGCAAAGAAACTTGGTTGTGTTCAAAAGCATAAGTGACTGATAATACCGTAACCAAATTTTATAATAAGCTCTTGATTCTGATCCTGTTACCTTTGGTAGTTTTTCAGAGAGAGGATAGGAGAGTTGCACTCACACTGTTCTGGGTGGTTTTGGTGGTCCCCTCGTTGAAGCACTTTTCTTAACCCTTAAACAATTTGAGTTTTGGCATTCGCGAGGCCTAGCTAGTAATATAAATTGTTGGGTTTTTTTTTAAAGTGCTTGCCGCGTTTAACAATTTCCCATAGTAACAAGGAACAGACTGAGAGAAAAAAACCCGCGTAAGGATCGGAAACCAAACCTTAGGAGATTGTAGCCAACTCCCTGTTCAGTGTTGTTGTTGTTGCTCCTGTTTATATTTTTTAAAATTTTTTTCTTCTTCAGCTGCGAATTATTAGATAAAAGGGATGGTTGGGTTTTACAAGCCACCCCACGAGAGCGGCAGATGTTGAGCCTCAGGGACGGCCTGCTTGAAAACTGTTGTCAGACACAGGGGGAATACACGGACCAGTTTGACATTACCTGAAGCTAGATGAATATCTAGGGTCTCATCAAGCAGAAAAAGGAATTTAGACCTTTACATCAAATGTAGCTAGATAAGCGAGAATCCAAGATTCAATCTTTCACTGACTCTGTCGGCGCGCATTTGGGAATGAAAACAATTTAATCTTGTAAATTATGAGGGTACATACCTTAAAATAAACTGACTAAATGGCTGCTGATGGATGCTGTCGGAGAAACAAGACTTCTAATGAATCAAAATTTCATAGGGTATGGTTAAAAAGGGAAATGCTTTCCCTAATTCTTTAATCCTCTGCGACGAGAAAGGCTAGCTTAAATGGCGTTGTTGAAGCTTAAGCTTGTTTGTAAGCGCATTTTATGCGGAACTCATCACATTTGGTGAGAAGACGTACCACATTGGAATCCAATACACGGAAAGATAAGTTGGGACTGGCCCAACCAGCAAGCGCCAAAATGTTATTGTGACGGGCGTCTCGATGCAAATTTGCATCAACGGCACTAACAACTTAACTGTGGGATTATAATCGAGCTGAAATTTTCCACGATAGTTCATTACTTAAAACGCTACACAAATCTACACAACGTTTAAAATGGAGTCTGCGAAAAAAAAAATCGAAAGTATGAAATTCAATTTGGCTTAATTACTTTTACAGCTGCTGAATTCGAGCAAGGGTATCGTATTTGTAAGATAGCAGGCATGTCTATCCATTTTACCAAACTGCGCCTTAATGCTGTCTCACTAATGATTACCTCCTCTTAGATGTCATATTGGAAGCTCAACAAGAGACTACCCGCCGTACACCTCGACGCACGCGGACTGCCTTTACGCATCAGCAGTTGGGAGTCCTGGAACAATTTTTCAATAAAACACATTATCCGGATGTAGAATTAAGGGAAGAACTTGCTGCAAAGACCAATTTGCAAGAAGGCAGGATTCAGGTAGGTTGATAAATTGATGATTCAGTATTTTTCAGTTTTTATCTCTTTGTTCATTATCTGCTGCACGAGAAAATGAGCTGGGCAAGAAAATTAGGAGACAGACTATCCCTTGAAAGGGACGAGGACATCCTTGTCGTTTCTCTTGGAGTGCAAATCCTGGATTTTGGTTTCAATTTACGTGCTCAGGATCATACGTCAGACAAATCGTAGATAACTTCTTAGAGGGAGGCGAGGATTGAAAATTTCCCTTTTGGAATAAAACCTCCAACCATTACAGTGATAGCCTTTATCAAGATCCTCATCATCATCCCAAATTAGTGCCGGTAGGCACAGGGCAGGATGCATCAATTAATCCTTGGATAAAACTTCTCAAAAAGACTTTAAAATACTCTTTCAAATGAATTCCCTACTTGAACTGAAAATCCGTTTGCAGTAACTAGCATAAGCGAACCCCACGTTACAAGCTAAACGATTTGTGTTCTTTTTCAGGTTTGGTTTAAAAATCGACGGGCTAAATTTCGAAAGGAGAAAGGAAAATTTACATCAGAAGTGGGCCTTAGCAGTAAAAGCGAAGACGAGATTATTCAAAACATATCTCAGGTAATACAAGCTCAAGAAGCGCCATGTTGTTTCCAGTGTAACATGTCATTACCGCACTACTGCATCTGTGGTGATCCCGAGGAAGCCGTGAAAAATTTCCACAGGATTTCTTCTAGCATGTTCTCTCCGTTTGCTACTCATGCTCATTTGACGCACGTTCATGGCCTTCATTGCTGTCCGAATGGCAGTCATGAAGGATTAAGTGCAGGGTATTTCGCGAGGATGAGGAAGATGAAGAAGAGAAGAGACTGGAGCGTTGGGGAACACTCCGCACTTTATTCCTTGTGACTAAAAAAGTGAAAAGTCTTTAGAAGGAAAACGTCGTTGAAGGATTGTACGAGCGACCAATAAGAGCCAAAGTCGTTTGCTGATGACGTGATATTAGAATTTACGTCAAAACACCTTTCAAAATCAACCAAGTAGGAAATTCTTGTCCCTCCGGACTGAGCAAATATCTGGGAGAAGTGAATGAAAGATAGTATAGTGTCCAGCGTGGATCCGGTGTCGATTTTAAACGAGAGATTTGAGAATTAAAATGCTTTTAGTTCCTTCTCTTCAACTTTTTTTTTTTTTTTTTTTTTTTTTTTAACTTAAGGACCCAAACCTTACGATTATTGAATACACCGCACACCGATTACCATTACACAGAAGCTTAGACCTCAGTTTTGATGTTCAGAATTTTCCATCTTAACTCTGTAGATCACCACGCCTTTATTAATCTTGTTGTAGTTTAAAGATCTAAAGGTCCGAATTCTGTCGGAAAAAGCTGGCTTTTTTGAAGTCCTCCTATCGTACACGTTAGTAATTTAATCTTTGAAAATACAGATAACGGAAGAACACACGAGAACAAGAGAGTGAAACTGACCATGATTTATGGCTTAGTAAGGCACCTAGCATTGAGCTCTTCCGGTGTTAATACTTTTAACCCGGTGTTAGAGAAAAGTTATATCACTCCCTATAACCTATCATTAGGGCATCAATGGATTTTTCCATTTTTCACGACTTGACAATTTATGAAATCGATATTCATGGAAACTGATCTAGTGCGAACAAAGGACAATTTGAATAACAGACAGAAGTGTTATGGTGTGTGGTTTATTGTTATCCCCTGTGATTCAGGTAAAGAAAAGAGATCAGAAAAATCCAGCACAATTAAGTGCTTGTTAAATCTATTATTCTCTAATTAACTCAACCTCAGCCTCAACGAATGTGCGTTCACTAAAATCATTCGAGATCCCTATGATATATTATCCTGAAAATCGTGCTAATTAGGGCCCTACAGAGACATTAATCAACGTCAACTTTAAAACGTGACATGATTCAGTTTCAACGGCTTACATGTGAGGTGCATACACGACATATATATCACAATCATACGATCGTAAAATATATATAATGGATACAAATTTATTTTCCATTGAAAGCATTCTAAAGGAACGTTTCTCGCGATGAAGAATCATCGTAGAAACAAAACCTTCACGATCCAATCAATCTCCCTGTTTGAGAACCATAGCCATTACCAATTGATATAAAATTGATGAATGAACTTGCTAAAAAACGGAAAACTACTGAGCTTGATTAATGATTACTTCTAAAACCATACCCCTCACCCTGTTTGCAACGGGAAAACCTGACCGCCAGGGGAGGGACATAATGAAGCCATCCCTTTTCCCACGGGGCAAGAAGCAACCTTGATCTCTTAAGGCTGAGAAAATGATATTCCTGTAGCGTTGCGAAAACTTTCATGGATGTAATGTCATGGATGACAATGGTGATAATTTCTTCAGAGTGGGAATACTAACAAATCTTTTGAAACCTCTCCGATAAGTAACAACTTCTTTTTAGTGCATCTCCATTCACAATGAAATTAATGTAAACAAGATAAATAGCCATTTTTATTTATAGCCCAAGACTATAGCTTCGCTGACAGCACTGATATGGCGATGGAAGAACCGATGAATCGTTATGGGGAAAATACTAATCTACAACAGAGTCCATGAAGCGTTGTAGTACATTCTTCACCCTTGTGCTACTAGTTACTTATCGCGTAAGCACTTTTCAGGTTAAGTTTACTGCGCTGTACTGGCACCAGAAGAAAGATAAAAGATGTTTTGATAAAAACGCTTGATTGTTTCTTCGATTCGTACTTCCTGTGTTAAGTAATAATAGTAATCTTTCGAGGTGTTCCGTACAACCACATGAACAGTAAAATGATTTATTGTTTGCTATAAATCACTCTCTGAGTTCGCTATATTACCTCTCAGAGAGTAACACGCTTATCTTCTCATCGCAGAGCATTTATCAAAATATGCCACGAACCACTTCTCGCATTACCAAAGGTTTACTTCATAAGCTGAATGCGGTTGTTGAGATTTAATTGTTTGCATGTGCTTTAGCTATTCGATAAATCCGATTAAGGTACACCGCGAAACACTGTTATCTGTTCCAATATCAGTAGTACCAGACCATTGCTTCTAGGAACTTCGTCTTCAGTTTTCTTATTCAAGCTGTATCATGAGAACTCTCTCTGGAGATCTAAAGCGGCGTAAAATTAAGCTTTACGTTGATAAACATGTTAGCTAGAGAGCACGGGTTTTCCATTCAAAATTATGGTATTTTTTTGTCTGAAACCAGATGGCTTTCCGAAAAAAAGACGCTTGGTGATATGTAATATTTGTTTATACTGGGCTATGATAACAATTTTTGCGGCCATGTCTCCAAACAGTGAAATCGATTAGAAAAAGGGCGACGGGTTTTTCTCCTTTTTGAGATGAAGTGCTTCTACAACGTAGTTAACCCAATTGATGCGCATTCAGTGTATATGATCTAGTTTCTCGTAATCCCAGGCCGACATTTTAATCCCGGAACTTTGCAGACGACGTGTGAAAATAATGAATAAAAAACGATTTCCTGCAATTGGAGTAAAGACATGCAATATCCCAAACTTCAGGTAATTTATCATCCATAATGAATAAATTGAAAAGTGATACATTTGTTATGAAAAGTCCTCATACTGGACACTGTTCATAATTACGTGATCAAACCTCATAGAGGCTCTTTTCAATTGAAAAATGATGCTCATGTCTTTGCTTTATTAAACTAAGATTTTTTCTGAATGCCACAAAGTGATTTGGAACCCGGTGGTTCTAATCCAAGTCTTTTCAAGTAGAGTAAAATTCAAAGATATATAGTATGACAGGAACAAGTGTTTTTCTTGGTTCGCTTTCATGAAAGACGAGTGGACAGGGCAAGGATCCATTTACCACCCAAAACGATGTACAGCGAGTTCTGCCCGTGGGCGCCAGAGAGAAAAAGAGAAATATAGGAGACATGTAAGTTTTTCTGAAGGCTTTTTAGCTTGTCAATGTCGGTTTATAATTTATCTGCTTCGTTCAGCCAAAGAGATGAAGCTTGATAGAAAGTTGGTAATCAGAACCGTAGATTATGCCTCAGTTATCAACCGATGGCCGATAAACATCGCCAAGTATGATGAGCTAAATTCCGAGACTATCTTACACACGCGGCCTCTGTCGGTAAGCATTTGAGAATGAAAACAATTTAATCCTGTAAACAGGAGGAAAAAACTTAAAATAAACTGACTAAATGGCTGCTGATAGATGGCCGTCGAGAAAAAGGGGGACCAATAAATCATACTTTTGTGGGATATCACAATCATGTGAAGGATTTTCGTGCGCTAATACTTTAATCTTGTGACACGAGAAAAGTTAACAGCCTTCTTACATATGCCGTTGCTAATAGATACCAGGACTATTTTTCATTAAAACTTGCCTCTTTTGATAACGAAACAGAAACATCTTGCAACTTAACTCCACCACAAGATAAGCGGCCCTTGACAGAGTGTAAACGTTATGGTGTCTAATTGCTCATTTAATGGCATTAGCACATCGTTCGTAGAGTAAGTAAGGATGAAAGAACTGGGAAATGATTCTATTCTCCAAAAATGCCGGAGGAAATACTCGATGATTTTTGTTTTCAAACGAAGTTCGGTCGGGATCATCTGCTGAACCCGATTTACAAGGGTGAGAGATTGTCAACTGCTGGCATCTGCGACAGTTTTTGGGAACATTTATCAATGTCATCGTTCCAAAGCTTAATTACATTTGCAGATACTGCTGCTCGTAAGTTAACACGGATGAGAGAGGCCAGTATGACAAAATCACGGGTGTCTCAAAAGTGAGTGTGTACGTTTTCATGAAGACGCTTTGGTCAAGAAAGAAAAACAACTACACAGACTCTCTCGGAGAATCGGCCACATCGACAAAATAGGTACTATGGATGCCAATCCATTCTCAATTGAGAGCATTCTTAAAAAGAAACCGGTTCACTCGTCCGTGAATCATACGGAGGAAACTCAGCCGTCCAAATCAAGAGAAGCACTTTCACTGGCCGTGAAACTTGCAGGTAAGCGATTAATGATGTTGCTGACAAATGTCGCTATCACGTAGTGTCTCAGTAAAATCGTGAAGAGTCAGATGAACCAAATTGAGCCTCCAGTGTAACACACTTCGCCGTGATCTGTGATTAGTTTGTTTTGAGTGCAAACTATACGAAACTTCATTCCTTCTGATATCATTTAATCATCTCGGTTTCGAGAGGTTATTAATTTTAAGACAACACTGGAGGAAGACTTACAACTTTCAAAATTATAGCCTCCGTAGATCTTTGATCTAAGTCAAAACAAATCACTGTGTTTTTTAATAACAGAGTACTTCAGTTGAAGAGGACTGGATTAACACTGAATGAAGCTCGGTCAGTTTCTCGATGAACTGGATTAATATTGGAGCTATAGCCTGCAAAAGACGCAATATGAGCCGCAATGGCCGTAATTGCGCGGCAATTTATCTTTGAAGCAAATCAAAACAAAGTGTGTCTCAACATGACCAAACAGTACTTGAAGAGGAATGAATCATTACAACACATCGCTGAATTGTTTTGGAAAGACCTTTGCTAATCTTCTTGTGAGCAACTTTGACAAGAACCTTTGTTTAGTCAATGTGATCTTTAACTGTTTACCGTTCGAAGTCTATTCTCCAAAATTAGAAAATCTTTCAAAACCAGTTTGGCATTGTTACCAGCCACCGACAGCCATTTTGCAGACAGTTCTTGAAGCCCAAAACCTAAGTCTAAGATGACGTCTCCGCTCTTAAAAAACATTACATCTGAGCCTCCTCTCGCGTTGTTATTTAGTATCACAGAACCAAGCTCAATTTATCCTTTATCTGGAAGCTCCACTTGATTGCGTGAAGAGTAAATGAGCATAGGTATGTCAAATAAAAGGAAATGTAAACAAGTTAACAAGGAGCGGAAGGCTCTACGAACGGCGTAATGAGAAATCCATCCTCAAACATCTTAAGCAAACGTCAAAAGACAAGTGAGGCGAAAGCTTTACGTAGCTTCGTACTGATTCATTGAGTATCATTGAGTTGAAATATTTTGTAAGTTTGCTCACATACACAACAGCGCGTCACCGCACCCGTTGGTTCCCTTATCGGGAATTTATCACAGCTTGATGTATTTCTCTGACCATATTGGCGCCAGCCAAGCACTAATCATGTTCGCAATGTTCAGGAATTCCAATTAGATTGCTCTCTGATTTATTGGATGTACCTTTAAATGTGTCATATGCGTTCAAGGGGCAACTGAAATGGTTCCGAGGAGAAAAGGGCATCACTCCCAACGAATTGGTAGAAAATGTCTGGTTGATTTTTTAAAAATCCGTTAATGCACGTGAGAGGCGCGGTTCAAGTACAATGTATATCCAAAAAACTTAGAAAATGAAATCCTGATCTGATTATTCTGTCTAATCAGCATTTATCAACAGATGCTAATTTTAGTAACACTATGCTGATCTTGTTGTCTTTTTTCTTATTTCATTGCCGTAGACACTATCTTCTCCTCACATTCCCACCTCAAGACAACAGCACTCTCTATGAAAAGTAAAAGAGGCTTTCACAATCCTTTACATTCACATCTCATCTTCTCTCCCTCCGTAACTCACTGTATGTTGATCAATGGAAAGAATCATTGCCACCTTGCGAACCTGACTTAACTTCTACCAACTGAAACTATGAGCAATAACCTCAGAAGAACAATTTTTTGTACATTTACTATTACCATTACTCCACAGTATTTCTTTTTCCTCGATCTCAGTTCTTGTTTTACGTAACCTTTGTTCAAGTACCCTCTCGGCCATGTCGGTCCGATTGTACAGTTTTTACTTCAAGGGTGACCTGACATATTCTCCTTGAAACAGTATAAAGCTAACAAAAAGTACTCTACGTCTGTCGCTTATTTATTGTCCGAATTAACGGTTAACCGCCAATATCTGATCAGCCTTCTCCCCTGAGTTGCTGCACATTTCCTCGTAAATAAGTTGAGAGATTTGGTGTCGCTTACAAATTAAAAAACTGACCATGTGTCACCTTTCTCAGATGTTATCTTAGAGGCTCGACAAGAAAAGACGCGACGTACACCACGGCGCACGCGCACTGCCTTCACCCACCAACAATTAGGAATCCTGGAGAAATCCTTCAGTAAAACACACTACCCGGATGTAGAGCTCAGAGAGCAACTTGCTGAAAAAACTAACTTACAAGAAGGGAGAATTCAGGTAAACGAATAACGTTAATGGATGGATGAATTAAACTGAAATTAATGAAGTCTTCACTTTATTTTAGGTTTGGTTTAAGAATAGACGTGCTAAATACCGCAAGGAAGCAAGAACTTGCCTTCTTCTCGAGGATTACGAAAGTGAAGAGGAACAAATCCCCGCCGTTTGCCCAGTGACGCAGACCCAATCATCGCTGCCTTTTTTTCAGTATAACACAGTTCCTTATTGTTTCAACCACTGTGAACCCTTTGATTCAATAGGAACTTATGGACACTCTTCAGCTATGTACCCCCAGTTGAGTAGACACACCCAGTTGACCTCACATGCTCACTTGACACAGCCGCTTGGAATACACGGCTGGCAGCCTGTGTCGACAAATGTGATGATGAGTAACGCACATTTTGGAGATATGTGGAATGGATGAAAACAGTTATCGAAATCGTTCAAAGTGTATTTGATAGATCACTGCAACAGATTCGAAACAGTATTTGTGTGTGTTGTGCATTTAGATCCACGTTATACGATCGTCTTTCGCCGCGACTCATCCCGAGTAGCTGACATTTATTGTACGCCTCATAAGAAAAAAAAATGTTGTCGTTATATAATTCACTAGTAATAAATGCAGTGCCTCACTTGTGCGTAACGGACGCTAAAAGTCGGCGTGAGAATGTTGTACTGCAAATGAAAAAACAAATGAAATAAGGAAGATTCATTAAATCGACAGAATGTGAGTCGTTGTTTTTTCGATCGAAAAAGACTAATGAATTCAAAATCAGTACATCCTATGACGATAAAAATTTTTTCTTTTCACACCTCTGTGCTTTAGTATGCAATCAATAAATCGTCTTCTTACGTCTTATGAAAAGCTCATATCGAATTTTCAATTATTGATGTAAAATACGGGAGAAGAGGGCTGAAAATATCCACGGAAATATCATTGTAAGAACTTTTCAAATAGCTAGTGGTATAATAATGTTTTTCTTTTGTCGCCGTCTTAACGGAAACACATAAATACCGATTAAAATTCTGTATATAAACTTTAGAACTATGGATCTTTAAAATCAGTGACATCGACAATCAGGGTAACGGTTATGACTGCTGTAAGAGAATGATCTTTAGAAAAGGTTTGTTTTGACAAATAAAAATCCAGCAGTCACAGCATCAGTCAGTAATAACTCTTATTTCCTGGACTATAGTGTTATGGACGAGCAAAATATGAATAACAGCCATGAACTGATACAAACGAGTTTTAAGTTAATCTTTTATTTTGCTACAATAACCTTTGATTTTAGTTCGCGGAATTACTGTTTGTCTGAAGAAGTGTTAAGACAATCCTATTACTTCATGATCTTCGAAACTCATCTCGTGAATCTAAAAATCTTCAAGCTGTTTCACTCTTTTGTTTGAAGACTTACGGATTTATATTTCGGATCGCATCTTATAAACGAAATCCCGTTGTTATTGCTTGTAGTTTCAGGTCGGCACTGGTTTTAGAAAATCCAAAGAGAATGTTAGGACAATAAAAACTGAAAGCAAACAAGATAACGCTATTACAATTAGTTATCATTGCTAATAAGAATAAAAATGTCGACAGTACGTCAATTTGACATCAGAGAATGGATCAAAACGTTTACGGGCAAAATGACGACAAAAAGTGTGAAAGAAATTCGAAATTTTCCATGGTCGTGGAACAAAGAAAATTCTAAGGCGCCCGTGAGGATTTCAGAACCTCAGCCACAATTTTTCGTAGATTTTCTGTAAAAAGAGCTTTAGTGAAGTAATCGCCGGTAGCCGCTGACTAGTCAGGTCAAAATCATTTGTGATAGGCGCTCTGCATAACATCAGCTATGTCGTACCTAGATTAAGAAATATGTCTAATGTTGAGCTCGGTCATTGAATAGAGAAATTTGTCACTCGCGAGAAAACGAAAAATTATGAGTACTCCACGCAAACCCATGCAGGCCTTTAGATTTCAAGCTTCAATACTCTACTTCTGAGCTCCGACTGAGAGGACTCGAAAGTCATTGAAGCCACCTCTCGTATATGTGACACGCCCCCTGCACATTAACTGTTGATGTAAAACGTTATTTATTTTTCATTTCTTTCCTTTTCTCAATCAAGTCGCTGTTGAATTCAACGTAGCATCCCAGTCGTTGAGGCCATTAGTGAGTCCAATGTTGCTGACTCGTGTCGCTTGTTTCCCTAACCCCCCTTTAAAGGCCCCAAAACCTTCATTTTGAAAGGTAGCCAAAGCAAAGAACGTTTAATCAGCCCACTGCTGTAATCTTATACCAGTTCCATGTTTAACCTCTGTATTTGCAGATCATCATTTTGACTTATGCTCGGAACCTTAGATAAGCTTCAACAAAGTAAAACCAACTCAGCGAGTTTATTTTTAAAAATGACAACAACAAAAAAAAGACATATATACACAAAATGCTTCATTCCCAGAACGTTTTTCAACTGTCTGGGTTTGCAACGAAAGCATTACTCATGAACATTTTGGATTGAACAGTTTACGTAGAACCAGTTGTATGAATCCGTTGAGTAGCTTGAAAATCTACTAAATAACACCAACCTACCTTGACAGCGACATACGGGCCGCGGTCGTAACCGAGGTTAGAGCTGATCCAGAAAACAAAGACACCATTTCGTATCTTTAACCTTAGTTTGTAATCTTCCTAAGTTAATTTTGACTATCTATCTCATCACTCTGTTTTTTTGGAAGTTTGTGTAAAAGTTCTCCACCTCACTGTTCTCCTCTTCTCTCAGAGAACTAGCAAAATCCATGGCAGTGCACAGAATCCCTCATTTTAGGCAACACCTTTTGCTATATGCACTGCCATGACGTCAAAATGCCAAAAACGTATCCAAAAATGATAAAAATGCTATACTCTCGCAAAACAGGTTACTACCTTTTAAAACAGTGTTTCAGACAGAATAGTTGATGTGTTTGACAACTACATCAAACTCTCTTTCATTACAATCCCAAGCAGAAATAAAATTTTCATAGCAGCTGAGCACTTCTTCAAGAGAATGATTCTAAATAATTCTCCATGGGAGTACTCATGAAATGCAACGTCATGCTAATTTGAGGTTTATAATACAGTCCCTAAATGTAGCATCAAGGACATGGACGGGCATCAAAGGAGCGAAGACTTCATTGGTCATTTATATATCAATTTCATGAAATCTTTATGAAACCGTTTGAGCGATGTTCACGCACGAAACATTTCGTTATGACGCGTTATGAAACTGACCATTCATCAATGGAATTCCCCTAAATTTCATGATGAATTGCTTCATTTCGTTTCCGTTTCGGAATGCACCTTGTCCCATCCTAGGTGTTAAGAGCTTGGGGTTAGGAAAATATGACTTTAGTGCTTTCGTGCTCTGTATCATTAATTGAACAGGCAACCTGTATAAGACGCGGACCTCACTTGAGGATTGATCAGAAATTTTTTATATCTTAGCACATGTAAAATGAGAAACCAGATTGACCTGACAAGGAAATGCCATATTTGTCTGACAATTTCAAGCTAGCCGAAGCCGAGAAACTACCAGGTCAACACTAGATGGTTCACTAAAAAAGCTGCATTTCTTATGCATTTGGTATGACCTGCCGCCCTCAGAGAAATGGTCTTCTTAGCTGCTTTAAAATTTTCCCCACCATTAGTAAAAATGATCGTATATTGTGTTTGATTACGTGATCTTCCATCTTGTAGAATGTGTATGATCTGATTAATGAAAGATTGGTAGACTTCTTTTTCTCATCAAGCTCCCGATGACTTCCGCTTGAAAATTAAGTACCAGCCCTTGCAGCCAGTATTAGTATACAAGGCAGAAAAGGAAATTCTCCACAATCCTTTCACCTACTTAAATCGTTGGGAAAAACATATGTTCCCTAGACTTAAATCATAGATAGCATTAAGCTCTGCCCTCTTTTCTTTTAATGCATCAAAACTCAGCGTGTTGCCTATCTCATTTCGACTATTATGAGTACATTTCAACGCCCAGTTTTAAAACAAAGCAAACTCTTAGCACCTGCGTAGAATGAACAAGGTCAAAGTTCGCCTTGGAGAGGATCTGGCTGTCTACCCGTCTAATTTAGGTCTTTTTCTTATAGGTTAATCCTTGCTAATCTTTCGTAATCTATCAAGCTTCAAACTTTGTATTGGTCTTAAAAACATCTCCGGAGCTATATATATAAACATTACATTGTTTCTCGGATTAGGGGGTGACCAAGAAAAGAAAACGAATTCGAATTTTCTGCTTCCAAACAGCCTCTAACTACACTGCATCCAAATTTACTTTTTTATAGTAGAGGATTTATTTGCCTTAAACACCTCAGCTATCTTCAGTGGCAGTGCCAAACCTTCATTAGTTGAAATGATTTCCATGATGTTTAAAAAATAGACGTATCACCCGATTTAAATTCAATTAACGTAAGCTCTGTTCTGCAATGTTAACTATTTCGTCAGACCACTACCACCACGAGTCAAGCGTCGGTGAATTTCTAAGTTTACTGTTAACCTTCAAAGTGAAAGACCTACATACGATGTACAATTAGAAGGGATTTTATATTCCCGACTATTCAAAGTGTTCCCATCCCAATTCTCGGCTCAGGCGCAAGAAAGAAAAAGGCCAAAACATTTCATACATCAACTAAAATTTTTTCCCACGATATCATGAATACGGTATTTAGAAGGTCGCCTTCGTTAATTTTACAGTCGCAGACAACTCAAAATTAAAATACCAAGTTAGGAAAACCAGAATAATTATCTAGCTTTAGAAGGAATTAATCTTACAATTTGAGGGTTACGTTTCGTTTAAATTGGACCTCAGACTAATATCTTGGTCTTTTGAACAAACCATTAACAAATGAAACTGCCACAAATTGCCGCTGATCTTAAAGAAAGTAGTGTTATTGTTTTATACGTGAATAGATTGAGCCAATCAAGGGTCAGCGACCTCGAGGGTCATTCTAAAGTTATTACCTTAAACCAACTATCGTAAACATTCGTCTTGTATCACAAGCATTGTTCTTTAGTTACTTTCGAGACTTGACGCAAACAACAGGGACAGTTCGCCCGCTTTTTTTTTTTCCGATGGGAACCTTCCAAATATGATGGAAATAAACTGTCTCGCGAACATTCTTAGCAACGGATTGCGGCCATACAAACAAATTTAGAGCTGTCATAATCAATCTACAATCAAATTTGCAGCGTTTCGAGACGTCTGAGGATCAACATTCTGTTTAAAATGCTCGAAACTACTCTGTGGAATGCAGTCTCCACACGTATTACAGACGGTACGAGACAATTCTCAATTATCCTAAATTGGCTTTTGAAACGATTTCTTTTTTGCGCAGTATATAGACTTAATTCTTCCGCAGAAAGAACATATTGCACGGAGGATGTGTGTACGTTGAATTAATAATCAATTTAGTTTTGACTCATTTACTTATTATCAGACAAACTACGAGTACCGTAATTAGCTTTTTATAGACGCTGTTGGACAATGAAAGGCTCCGTGAAGAAGAAAGTTCAAAAATAGCTAATTGATTTGATTCGATTTCATGGGTATATGGGGAATTTATATATATATACGATGCCTAGCTTAACGTTGACTGATTTAAACCAACAACGAAACTAGTAAGGCAGTCATTTCCCTTGAAATAAAAATTATGTTACAGTTTGCAAGGAATGGAACGTATTGAGCATGCTCTGTTCGACTGGTCCGTTATGTGCAGCTCTAGAGGTCACAGTTTCAGTTTTTTGCGAGGTTGTTTTTGCCATCGTTGGTGCTCTCTATTCAACCTTTTGCCGTTTTATTTTCAATTTCATATTATCCTATTTCAATTGGAATGCAAATAACAGTGTTGAGTAATTTTCAAGAAACTGTTAGATACTTAGGTTAATTCCGACGAAAACTAATCTTCTTAGTCGCCTACACCTTTTTTTCTTACAACACTGGATCGGTGAGCAAACAGCGGTACACGAAATAACAGTAGAATAGTCACATAAAAGGGAGTGATCCACAAACCAGGAGGATTATTAATCCATCCCGAGAAAAGGACATGGAATCATTTAATAATAT